TTAGCTATATTTCGCTTTCACCCGCAAATTTCGTAATTTTTTCACCCCATCATGGGGATTCGAACTCACGACCTTTCTCTGCGACTAGCGGATTACGAGGATACCACTAGACCACCGGGGCGAACGGTTAGAAGATGTTCATAGAGGCCTAGACTTCGACCTTGATGATGTGGGCACCGAGCAGCAACAAGACAGTGCTGTTGTATGGCCCGATGTCGCTGCCGTTGCTGGAACGGCGGTACAACGGAAACCCCCGAGCGTCCAACGTTGTGGCAAGTTGAGGAGGCTTGAAAAACCTCTTCTTGCGTTCTGCTTCCTCCCCTCCTGGTAGCATAATCGGCGTTGGCTCTTGCAACTCGTGCGTCATGCACGTTTGGAGGATGGTGCGTAGTCCGGTTCTCTACCACGGTCCGGCCATGTCGCTCTCATGTGTTCGTCGATGCACCGCGCGTTGTGCGGATCGTGGTCGACGGAAACTTGGAAGACGAGATGATGTTCGGATAAGGACGGCCCCGCTTCTATGACGTGGAGGTAGGTGCGCCAGAGATGCGAGGAAAGGGAGGAGGGAGGGGGGGGCACATAACCACAAACCGACGATGGGGACGCGTTGCCGAGTGTTGTCTGCAAGTATACAAGAAAAGGGAACCGAGGTAGGAGTAAGTCAAAAGCAGCTGCACGGTTTTCACCACACACGACGACACATGACCGGGTGTAAACATGATCAAATCTGTTACCGTGGAACTCGATAACAGCAATCCTGTAGCTGCGCCCCAAACGCGTGAGGCAAGTGCTGCGTACGAATTGTGTTTGTGCCTGAACGACGGGACGGTGGAGGGCGTCACCTATGCGTGCATTTTTCGGTGCAAATCAAGTACAGTCGAGGGACCCTTTTAGTGCCGGTTGAATAGTGCCAGATGCCCGGTATAGTGCCGGTAAAATCTCTGCACACAGGCGGAGCTCTCAATAGTGCCAGACCGGCACTAATTAAAGCATGCCCGATATAGTGCCGGTTCGGCACTGCTGTCACCCCCAATAGTGCCGGTACTCCGCACGCGCGAAACACACACACGCACAACCCAGGGCAGAAAACATAGACTCCACACACAGAAATAGGGTACACGTGCTGCTGCAGACCCGAACAGCTCTACACAGGGGCGTACCATGCCCTGTGCGGAAGGTGAACTGTGCCAACTACAGGACACCACGCCGCAAGACCCTCATGGTCACGGCTGCCAGGGAGGATGTGGCGGGCGACTGCACGGCATTTGCGGCAGTGTGGTTGATGTAGGCAACGAGAATCACCGCATCTGCAGCGCGTGCGTCGCCAAAGCCGGCAAGCGCAAAGTGTCAGCAGCAGACAGCACTGGGAAGGCACAATCTAAACGTCCGAAGGCCACGAATGGGGGGAGTAACAAGTCTCAGCCTCGTGCGCGGCCAGATTTCAGCGCCAAGTGTGAGATGCTGAAGCTGATGGATCAGAAGGTGACTCATGAGCAGCTAGCAGATCGCTTCAAGTGCTCGGAACGGTTGGTCCGGGATGTGAAGAAGA